AAGTCCCACCTGGTCGTGGTAATTTTTTTTAATGTATTGTTTGATCTGGTTGGCTAATACCTTGTTGAAGATTTTTGCATCCATGTTCATCAGGGAAATTGGTCTATAGTTCTCCTTTTTCATGGGGTCTTTGTCTGGTTTTGGAATCAAGATAATGCTGATTTTATAGAGTTTGGAAGTTTTCCCTCCATTTCTATTTTTTGGAACAGCTTCAAGAGAATAGGTGTTAACTCTTTCTTAAATGCTTGGTAGAATTCCCTTGGAAAGCCATCTGGTCCTGGACTCTTGTTTTTTGGGAAATTTTTGATTACTAATTCAATTTCTTTACTGGTTATGGGTCTGTCCAAATTTTCTATCCCTGTTTCAGTTTTGGTAGTGTATATGTTTCTAGGAATTTGTCCATTTCTTCCAGATTGCCCATTTTATTGGCATATAATTGCTCACCATATTCTTATTATTATTTGCATTTCTGCAGCGTTGGTTGTGATCTCTCCTCTTTCATTCTTCCTTTTATTTATTTGGGTCCCTTCCTTTTTCTTTTTGATCAATCTGGCTAGGAGGTGATTTTTTGTTAATTCTTTCAAAGAACCAGTTTCTGGTTTCATTGATCTGTTCTACTGGGTTTTTTGGTTTCAATAGCATTGATTTCTTCTCTAATCTTTATTATTTACTGTCTTCTGCTGGTTTGGGGTTTATTTGCTGTTCTTTTTTCAGCTCTTTAAGGTGTAAGGTTAGGTTGTGTATCTGAGACCTTTCTTCCTTCTTTAGGAAGGCCTGGATTGCTATATAGTTCCCTCTTATGACTGCCTTTGCTGTGTCCCAGAGGTTTTGCGCCGTGGTGTTGTCATTCTCATTGGTTTCCATGTACTTTTTAATTTCCTCTTTAACTTCTGGATTAGCCCATTTGTTCTTTAGTAGGATGTTCTTTAGTCTCCAAGTATTTGTTATCTTTCCAAATTTTTTCTTGTGGTTGATTTCGAGTTTCACAGAGTTGTGGTCTGAAAATATGCACGGTATGATCTCGATCTTTCTGTACTTGTTGAGGGCTGATTTGTGTCCCAGTATGTGATCTATTCTGGAGAACGTTCCATATGAACTGGAGAAGAATGTATATTCGCAAATGTCCCTTTCTTGATGGTTCCAGCAAAGTCCGGAGCCTGCTTCTCACTGGCCCAAATGTGGTCTCATGCCTGAACCACTCCGTGCTGACCGTGTGGGCCTGTGTCACGTGCCCATCCCTGGAGCAATGCAGAGGGGGTGCCCACTGAAGCTAAGGAGGGGAGAGCACTGTCTGAAGAAAGAAAAATGCCAGACCTCAGGGGAAGAAGGCAGGAGGGGTGCTAAGCTTGGCCAAGACCTCAGAGGTGGCCCTGTCCACTCTCCAAAGTCACATATTGCCAACACCAGGACACCTCCCCATCTCCTAGTGTGTGTGGGGAGGGCAGGAATGGGAGAGAGGAGCTGGGGCATTCGAAAGAAGCCTCACAGGCCAGGTCCAAGGGAGGGAGGAGGGGGAAGAGAGGAGGGTGGAGGGCAGAGGGCCCGGCAAGGCTCCGGGGAATGGGTGGAAGGGGCCTGAGCCACGCTGAGCTGGGGACCCACGGCTCTAGCCCCACTCGGGGCTGGTGCACCAGCGGTCCCCAAAGAGGAGCTTGCCCACTGGGCAAAGGGACCCCTCAGAAGCACCAAGAACCCTGGGTCTCCTCAGGGGAGGCTGGAACCAGTGTGAGTGGAAGGAGCACCCAAGGCGCAACATTTGGGAGGTAGGGCCCTTAGGGTTGTGCAAATGCAGGGATGACATGTGGGGGGTCAGGGTGGGCTCCTGGCCTCACTCCGGGGTAAGTGGGGCTTAGCGGTTAAGGCTAGCTTCCCTCCTCAGCCCGGGGCCACCTGGTTCTCCAGATCCAGGCCCTTGCAAAATCCTGGCGCATCCACATGCCCTTTGGACGGACCTGCTTATTTGGTACCGCGTGGCCAGAGGGACACTGGGCTGGCCCTCCTCCAGACGCACCAGCCACCCACCCAAGGCAGGGGACCCCCCCCCCCTCAGTCCTACGCCTAGGACCTTAGGACGGGCCCATGCAGACAACTCATGACCACCTCCCCCATCCCCGCGTTGGGGGGGGGGGGGGGTCCACCCTGTGATCCCTGCAGCCTGTCCTTGAATCAATGTCTTGAACACAGAGCCGTCGGCTTAGCTGCCCCGCCTTAGAACCTGGCCCAACCAGCACCTACACAGTACAGTTTCCCCAGCGGGAGCAACATGTAGGCTCAGTGGGCAGAATGTTCGCTGCCGGCAATAACACTGGTGGCCACGGTGCAGTGGGGCCTTATTTTACACCCCCAGCCTCCCCCCTCCCCCCCCCCCCCAACACACACGCTTGCCCGCCAGGACTGTTCCAAACACCTGACTGGTCAACTGCCTCCCACCGTTGTCCCCGTCCCAACGGCCAGGTACTAGCTCTGTGAAAAATGCCCTGTTTTCTGTGCTTTAGTGTCCCGATCTGTTAAATAGGTATAAGCGCACACACCTGCCCGCCTCACCTGCGGCGACTTGAGGTTAGACGGTGAACTGAAAGCCTTTAACACAGAGCCCGGCTCGGGTAACCAACCGCTCTGCCCATCCGACCCGGCCGGCCGGGACAGCAGCTCTCCCGAAGGACGCAGCGCCGCGGGCCAGCGGCCCCGTGGGGCACCCGGTGCCCACGCCACGCTCCGGCTCCCGCCTTCCAGCAGGCACGCGCCCCCGCCGCGCCAGGCCAGGGCACCCTGGCAGGGCCCCGGGTGAGGTGCCACCACCTAGCCTCCGTCCCAGAGACAGGCCGGCGTTCAGCTGTCGCCTAAACCGTGCGCCCCGGGGGAGGCACACAGGCGCCGCACTCACATCCGGGTCCCCAGCCAAAGCGGCCACCCACCCTCCGCTCCGGCGCGTCGGCTAGCCTCTTCCTTCCTTAACTCTCCCACCAACTGGCCACTTGTCACAGGTGCTGAGAACCAAGCGAGCGCACGCTGTCACCTACCTGGACGGTGCTCACTGACGTAGGCCTTGGGACGCGTACACAGGGTCTCCTCCCCGGGGCGGGCGGCGCCGGCCCAGCGAGGGGGCGCGGGCGCAGGCGCAGGAGAGGTGGGAGGAGCCCCCTTCCCATCCGCCGTCCTCCGTCTCATTAGCAGAGACGTGTTAATGAAAATTCACACCGAGGTGCTGATAAACAGTGGGCCTCGCCGGCTCCGGGAGGGAGGAGAATGCTCTCCGCAGGGGAGGGCGCTGGCCGATGAGCCCCACTTAGCTGTGAAAAGACTTGCTAATAACTTTAATTCCCCATCCGAAACCGCAGGGCCTTTGCCATGCAAACAGATTTTCTAACTTGGGTAGGGCCCCTGGAAAAGACTTCTCGCTCTGCTCCAGTTAGGGTCCTGGGAGGGGAGAGCAAGATGAGGGGCGAGGTGTGGGAAAGGGGGTGATCAGCGGAGGTGTGAGGTCAGCCCCCCTGCAGGGCCTCTGCTTTTGGATCCCGCTCTGTGCGGCCAAATGCCGGCCAGGGTGCGTGCGCCTGGACGCCTGAACGTCACATTGGTGCCCCCCGGCTACGCCGAATTCCTGCCCCTCCCGGCCTGGGCCCGAGCACTGGAACTGATCTCTGAGGTGGTTTCAAAACAAACCTATCTGTACCGACGGATAAACAGATAAACCGTGGTATATCCGTGCAATGGAGTATCACTGGGCAATAAAAAGAAATGAAATACTGATGCACCTAGGCCACACGGATAAACCCGGAAAACGTTAAATGAAAGAAGCAGGGCACAAAAGGCCTCTATTGTGTGATTCCAGTTACACAAAATGTGTGGAACCGGCCAATCTATGGAGACAGGAGGTAGATGCCTGGGCTGGAGAGGGGGGGGGGGGGGGGGGGGGGGGCGTGGGTCATGGGGAGCACCTGCTAATGGGCACAGGGTTTCTTTCCCTGGTGATGAAAATGTTCTCGATTTAGACAGTGGTAATGGTTGCATTACTACGAATATACTAAAGTCACTGAATTATAAGGTTGAATTTCATGGTATGTAAACTATATCTCAATAAAGCTACTATAAAAAACAAATGCTAAGGCCTGTGTTTCAAAGTTGCTTGGCAGGGAGGGGAGAACTTGGTATCCATAGAGGGCTGGGGGACCCTTGGGCAGAGGCTACATCCCCTAGCCTCACCTCAACTCCCCCACAAGGCTTGACTGCTTACCAGACCCCTTGAGCCAAGCCAGGCCCCTTCTGGGTCAAGGCTTCCTTCTTCCCCATACACTGCATCCCTGATCTGAACCCAGCAATGCAGACACGAGTGTGGTTCCAGGTCAGCTATGTGGATTTGGAGGCAACCCCATGAGCCTCTCCACTCTAGCTAGGCCTCTGGGAGGTCACAGTTAACTCGGGACTGACTCATAAAATGTTAATGTCCCTAGCCCACCTGGAAGAGAAAGCAGAGTGAAGGCAGATAAGAAAATCCCAAGGTCCAGGCCACAAAGCTCCAGTACAGGGGAATAAGGACTTGGGATGCATGGAACGAGTCCTTGGAGCTGGTGTCCTCTCAGACCCCAGAGCTGGCAAAACCTGACCAGGGAGAACTTGGGATTCTGAATTCATACCGACCCTGAGTGCTGACCCTCAGTAAAATCGTTATTTGGGTATAAAATGTGTAAAGGACCTGATGATGCACAGTAATTACTAAGAAAACGTATTTTCTACACAGATACTTTGCTTTTAATGCACCTCCCACCGGGTTCAAGGAAAAGGGGGACAGGCTCCACGGCTACCACTTTCTCACATACAGCATCTTCCCGCTCCAGGCTGGCCTTCCTGGAATAGGACAGGCTAAGCCAGGGCAAAGGGGAAAGGGTCTGGGCCTTTGTGCTTTGAGGGCTGAAGACTGCCAGAAACTCTCTTAATTCTCCTAGGTTCTTCTTTGGAGAAGGGGAGGGAGCTTTGTGTCCATGCGAAGGAAGAAGAAACGGTCAACTGACACCAGCACAGTTTATTCACAAATAAATAAATACATAGTAGGCAGGCGCCCCCTGCCTGCCTCCAAGGGTCAACCTATGGGTCCCTCCATTGCTGGAGGGGCTGGGGAGCGTTGTCTTGGGTGGGGACGGGCTCTCACTCTCAGGAATGCCCATGCCAGTATCGCAGGTGCCCTCTCCTAGGAAAGGGAGCCTGGAGAGGGACCGTTTTGAAGGTGCTGAAAGCCAAAAGGGCCTCGATGCTCACAGGGCGCCAATTGTACGTCGTCACTTCGACTCAGGCCGGCGGCCACTCCAGAGGCGAGAGGGGCATCCAGGTCTCCAGCAGGGACAGCACGTCGCCGGGAAAGAGCTAGGGGGAGAGGGTATAGAGTTACCTTCAGCGCTGGCCGCCACGCGTGGGTGTCCGCGCTCGTAGGTTCCACTCGGGCACAAGAGCCTCTCCCCTGCGTGTCCTCTCCCTCCCCTCGCCGCTTGACCGCCCCAGGCACACTGACTACGCTGCTCGGGACAGCAAGCAAACAAGGCCAGGCTGCCGGCGGGGATGCCGCAGGAGGCCTGTGAGCGGCGGACGCGGACGACAGGTAGCAGCACCCACGATGGCCCCGTGGATGGGGGGAGAGAGTCCCGCGCGGGGAAGGAAGTACTAACCGGAGACGAGGGACTCGGCTCCATTGCCTGCGATTCCGAACACGCCGCCTCGTCATAAAGCACTGGCGGGTCGCGCGGCTGCGGCGCCGCTAGTTCTCCGAGACAGGCCGGCGGGGACCCCCAGGACGCGGAGGGGCTGGCGGCTGAGCGCAGAAGCTGGGCGCGCGCCTCCACCTGCACCTGCACCTGCGTCTGCGCGGGGCCGCCGTCGGGGCAGAGCGGGCAGCCCCGAGGCACCGCCGCGTCGCTGCGCCGCCGGCGCCGGCGCTGCAGGCTCTCCTCGCTGAGGCCCAGCACCGCCGACAGGTGGCCGATGTAGCGGATGGCCAGGCGCAGCGTCTCGATCTTGGTGAGGCTCTGGCCGGCGGGCGCCACGGACGGCGGCAGAAAGCGGCGCAGCTCGTGCAGGGCGCGGGCGAGCGTGCGCATGCGCAGCTTCTCGCGCTCGCTGGCGCTCTGCCGCTGCCCGGAGCCCAGGCGGCTGCTGCGCGCGCCGCGCCTCCCTGCGCCCCGGGCTCCGGCGGCCGCGTGGGTGCCGGGCCGTCCGGGGCTCAGCTCGGGGCTGCCGGCCGGGACGCTGCCCCAGGAGTCCGGGGACGAGGCGGGGGAGCAGCCGCAGTCCCTGTCGGAGGGCGGCAGAGGCAGAGGCCGAGGCGGGCCCCAACCCGGGAAGAGGAGCCAGGACTCGGAGAGCGGCGGGCACAGGGACTGGGCCATGGCGGCGGCGGCGCATCTGCGGACCGGCGCCCGGCGACCGCTTTATCCCGAGCCCGAGGTGTGAAGTGGCCCCTTCCAGGCCGCATCAGCACTTCAAAGCGGGCTCGGGGCCTGGAGGGGGCGGGGCCATACCCTTTGAACCAACGGGGGTGGGGGGGTGCTGAAGGTGCGGGCCCCTTGGCCGTCCCAGGTCGGGCCCCACCTGGGCCCTCGCATGGGCACCGGAGCCAGCCACTGGGGCCTCTTGCCCGCGCTGCCTGGCGTGTTGGGCCAGCCCAGCAGGTCAGAGGAAGCGCGGTCCGGGGAACTGGAAGTACAGTACCTGGGCTTGGGGCTGCCTTCGCCTGTTGGGACCTTATGCAGATTCTTACGCTTTCTTGCAAATTCGTTCCCAGTTTGTATAACGGGAGCCTTGAGGCATACTGCAGCCAGGTCTGCAGAATGAATAGGATGGGGACCCGGAGTGGGGCCCTGATCCCTGCTAGAGGTGAAAGGAGCAGTAATCCATTTCTCCTCTGAGGCAGACCGGTCCTGGACGTGGCCTTACCTGGTGGTGGTGATCGGGGGTGGGGGGACGGAGGGAGCACTATGAGGAAACTATCCCAGGCAAATCCAACAAGCTGGCCAAGTATGGCCACGTTGCTGGACCGTGTGAGCTGAGGGAGGGGAAGCCTCAGGCCCTCTAGGGCACCTTCTCCCTGGCAGGATCAAGGGCTTGGCAAGCTGCCACCACTGGCCACCAGTTGGCGTCCTACCATTTGGAGGCAGGTATATCAGGTTTTGCCATCGAAATGTGAGTGGACACGACATAGAAAAATGCACGTAACAAAATTCATACCCCTCCGTAATAAAACTTCTCAGCCAACTAGCAATAGAGGGGAACCGTCTCAACCTGATAAAAGGCATCCACAAAGAGCCCACAGCTAATATCATAGTAAATAGTGGAAGAGTGAATGCTTTCCCATAATGTTGAGAACCAGGAGGGGATGTCTGCTCCTCCCCAGGCCTACTCGACAGTGCGCCGGAGGGCCTGGCTTGTGCAAAAACAGAAAAGCATACAGATTGGAAAGGAAGAGACTAAACCGTCTCCACTTGGCAACAAGACTGTCTACGTAGGAAATCTCAAGGAACCGATACTGCCTGCCTGATCCCTCAGGAGTTTGAGTTTACACCTTGTCGTGATAGCTACTTCAGGCACAGATGTCTGTTGTCCACCCAGACTGTGAAGTACCTGGTGCGTAGCACGTCTTCAAGAGAAGCGGTATATAGGGTCTCTTCCAGTGTGAGGGGTCTAACATTTTGCATCCCCGATGCCTTCTAGCCCTGTGACTGCCGGGTGAGCTGGTCTGTAGCAAAGAAGGCCAAGTGGTTTAGCAGCTTCTCCCTGGGCATCTCTGCCCCCCACCGTCCCCCGCCCTCGCCTCTTTTATCTTCTCCTGCCCTCGGCTTCTTCCAGCACCTTCTACACCCCCTTCCTCTGCAGTCTGTCCCAGCGGCCCCAGAATGCTTACACCCACGGTCACATCCAGGAGAGGCAGTCCCAACCCACCCCTGGGCAGAAGGGGAGCTTCTCCCCTTCCTAGGGGGGACCTAGGTCTTCCTAGGACCCATTCCCAAGGAGAGTCTGGTCCAGGAGAGCCCTCCCAGCTTGAAGCTGTCAGTAGGGTCTCCTTTTGGACCCTGCTCGATGGATGCCCTCCTGGGGCTCCAGATCCAAGCTAAGAAGCTGGTATTGCAGCCCAGTGGCTGGGCTCTTTTGATCCCACCGGACCCAAGGGGACAAACCGTTGGGACTTGGTAGAGTATGTTGTGCACTCAGGCAAGGGGTAGGGGTGGGGGGGGGGGGGGCTGAATAAAGACCCATCAAGCAGGAGGGATTGCATCTGAGAGGGCTCAGAGCCTCTGCTGCCAACCTTCTGAATGTTAAAGGAGCAAAAAAAAAAAAAAAAACAACCCTCCAATCCCCACAGAATTCTGATTTCCACTTTGTAGCTAATTGAGGAAACTCGGCACAACCCAAAAACTCCTAGGCAATCAGCCACCCTTTTGCTTTACTTTCATCTCTGAAAATACAGTATGTGCGTGTGACCGGAAAGTCAAAAGCTCAACAGGTAATGAAGGGTGTAACAAAGTTCATTACTATCCCCGCCTCTGAGGCCTGCCATTCTGTGTCCAGAGGAAACCACCGGTGCCGGTTTGTTATTGTAAAAGCACAAAATCAACCAGACATGTTTTGGACAACAGGCCGTGTGTGTGGGAGGCAGACTGTTTATCCTGAAAAAACGCAGCTCTGTCTCCTGAGGATTCTCACATCTGGGACCTGAGGTTTGACATCCCTTGGGCACCTGCCACGGAACCACCAAGAGGTCTGGAGCAGGGGAGGACACCGTGAGGGGTGCATGGCAGGCTGAAGGAGGGCTAAAAAGGTCCCAGGGCCAGTGTGGAGTCAAAGAGCCCACAAAAAGGGCATGAGAGAGGTGGGGCAGATGGCAGGGTTCCACCCCCGACCCCAACCTTGGCGTCTTCAGCCCTAAAGGCTGCCACCTGGGAGTCCCTCCCTCTCCTGCTGCCCTTGGGGTGTCCAGGCCCAGTTTGTACAAGGGCCACGGCCAGTGGGCCCGATGGAGCTAAGCTGGGGAAGAGGAGGGACCCCCCCCCCCCAACCTGGGGCCTGGGCTCCACCACCTCCTGTCAGTCGCCTCCCTTTTGCCTCTCCCCCCATCACCTTTGATCTCCTTATCGCCAGCCTCTCCTGTGGGTTCATTTGGGAGCTGCCCCCGTTAATGAGTTCTCCGGGCTGCAGGGCCCACACGCCCTCCCGCTGGGGTGAGGACTTCACACCTCTGGGGCCTGTGTTTTGACAAGTGCCGGTGCCAGTGGCTCCCCCTCCCCTGGCCCGAGCCTGCCTTCGCCTGCCAACGTGTAAGGCTGGGAAATGAGGCCTCGGGGCAGCCCCACTGAGCAGAGGTGAGAGTTCAGTTGCAGTCCTTGGCCGGGGTGGGGGCGGGCAGAGCAGGGCGGCATCCTCCAGGGCGGGGGGCCGGGGTCTCTCAGCCTTCCCGCTAGGAACCAGCCCGCTCCTCGGCCCAGCCTGGGTCCTGGACACCGCACCCCCCCCCCCCCCCCGCCTCAATGCCCTCATTTCCCGGCCAGCCCTTCTGACACAGGAGTGCTAATCAAAGGTGCTATGTCAATAGCCCCTTGGAGCCCCTAATCCCTGGCCCGCCGGAGCCAGAGGCCCCAGGAGAAGGAAGCAGCCCCCTGTACCGCCAGCCTGCTTAGCATCAGCAGGCGCATCTCCTGGGAAGCTCCTAATTCAGGTGCCCCTGCTTGCTGAGATCTTCCCACCACACCCCAGCACCCGCCCGAGGCAGCCCCTTCATTGTTGTTTAAGGAGCTGCCACCTCCAGGCAGCCTAGAACACCCCTCTGGAGTGTGGCCAGCGTGGGCCAGCATAGAGTCCCCATCCTGCCATGTAGCACCTGTGTCATGTGGGTAACTCTCCATCTCGGGGCCCACACAGCTTCTGCCTCTGGGCCAGGGGGTAATGCCTGCTGTGCTGACATATTGTAAGGATCGGATCAGAGTATACGGACGGGGCTTTGGGCAACACCCACGGGCACGCTTGCTGCCGTCGCTGGGGCCTGGCTGGGTCACAGCTGACAACCACGTGGCTATGTGGGCGTCTCTGCCTCCCTGTGTATGTGAGGGAATGGGGCGTAGGGAGGTTGTTCTAGGTCACGTGGCTAGCAGGGGCAGAGCTGGGGCCTGTTTGCCTGTGTGTGGGGCCAAAGCCCGGGTTCTCTCCTCCCCACCACCTCTCCTGTCTCCTCTGGAAGACGTGGGGGCCCCCTACCTCCCAGAGGCAGCCCCGAGAGTGAGGGTGCTGGCGTGGGAGGAGACTTCCCCAGAGACCTCAAGTGCCCACAACATCTTGTCACAAGTCACAGGGACCATGGGAGACGTAAGAATAAAAAGGTTTCCACACCCACCCTGGACCTGCTGCACCAGAGCTGGAGAATCTGGGTATGAAAAGTACCATGTCCGGGGTGCCTGGGGGGCTCCATCGGTTAAGCGTCCGACGGGCTCAGGTCATGATCTCACAGTTCGTGGGTTCTAGCCCCGTGTGAGGCTCTGTGCTGACCGCTCAGAGCCTGGAGCCTGCTTCGGATTCTGTGTCTCCCTCTCTCTCTGGCCCTCTCCTGCTCGTCCTCGATCTCCCTCTGTCAAAAATAAACATTAAAAAGGAAAGAAAGAAAAGTACCGCTTCCCCCAGAATTATGAAGCTCGGCCACTTTTGAGAAGCAGTGCCCTATAGTGGCATGGCCACCCCCACCCCAATCCAGAGAGTGGAGAAAGCACTGGGCGTGTCCAGCCCCCCATCATGGTTCCTAAACCCCCGTGGGTCATGGGTGGATGTGGCTGCGGCCACCTGGAGCCCCAAAGCAGTCAGGGGGCTCAGCAGGAAGGCCCCCGACTTCTCCGCCACCTCCCTCCTTCCCCAGCAGCCTCCCAGCTGAGGCCCCAAGGCTCCCAGGGAGACCCTTCCAACTAAGATCACCCCCTGTCCTCACACCTTTAGCTCCCGGAGCCTCTGAGTTGGCGAGCCATATGGAATAGATTATTCCAGACCTGAGATAATCTGATTATCTTGGTCATGGATCAGCTGGATGCTCAGCCAGTGGAAGTCACAGGAGGCAGAGGGGTGATGAGGAGGGAGGGGGTGGCAAGAAAGGAGAGAGATTTGGCGGATTCCAGGAGAGACTCAAGGGGAAGTGGCCGAATCCGCAGTTCTGGGAGCGGGGCTGAGGGCGCAGGGGGAGCAGACAGTGCCTCTCTCGTAGGGGAGTCACATTTATGCTTCTTTGCTTCCTCTGGGTAAGTGGAGGAGGATGGCAGCTTTCTAGGATAATGTGGGGAAACCAAGGCATAAAGGGGTTAAGGAGGGGAACCAGCCCAAAGCAGAGATGCAGACACGTGGGTGTGGGGAAGCCTGTCACGTGGCACCTTGGTTTCCCCAACTGTAAAATGGAGCCAGGACTCTCCACTGCCTGCGCTGGTTGGAAGGTTCCCTTCCCAGGCCAGAGAGTTGACGTCTGGGTGGACAGTTGTGGACCAGTGTCCTCAAATTCCCAGCCACTGCCAGCAGAGGGCGCTGCCCAGCCGCCTGGGATTTGGGGATCTGAGCCGGGCGGACCTGCCTGTAACAAGCCTTTGTTCTAGGGCCAGGGTCAGGCACCAGGAACCAGAGATGCAGGGGCTGACTTAAGAAGTGGGTGAAGCCAGCTCAATGCCAGTGTGATGGGCTGTGGGACTCCCAGATATGCCACTTGCCCTCGCTGGAGCCCTGCCTGCTCATCTGTTCACTGGGAAAAACATACAAGTGTGCAGAGAAGCAGAGGGACAGAGCCCAGAGGAGTGAGGAGAAGGGGGACAGGCCAGGAGGGAAGGGCCCAAGCAGGGCTCAGGTCCCCCGACCTTCCCTATATGCTCCTGGGAGCAAAGGCTGAAAAAAAGACCACAAGCCGCTGGAAACTCTAAGCAGCGGATGCCTTGGGCTCAGTGCCCTTGCCGAGTCCCCGCTAAGGATATGCAGGTCTAGCTCAGCTGCTGACCGAGGCCATGTCCAACACCAGCCCCTCCAGGAAGCACAAGATAGACCTCCCTCCAGGCAGGATGGACAGTTCTGGGGTTCCTTGTAACCCCACCCCTACCCTTGCTGACCACTCGCAACAGTGTGGTGAGGTGTCAGGACTGCGATGAGCCCCCCACCAGGTCACCGGGCGGCTCGGGCCCTCAGCCAACTCAGCAGGAGAAGGAGGGTACCCCCCCGAGGCATCTGACATCAGGCCCAACAAAAAGCAGAGGGGAGGGGGGTGCTTGGGCTGTTCAGCCAGCTAAGCCTCCGGCTCTTGATTCTGGCTCAGGTCACGATCTCATGGTTTGTGAGTTGGAGCCCCATGTCGGGCTCCGCGCGGACGTTGAGGAACCTGCTTGGGATTCTCTCTCCCGCTTTTTCTGCCCCTCCCCATTGCAGGCACGTTCCCTCTTGCTCTCAAAATAAACTTAAAAAAAAAAAAAAAAAAGCAGAGTGGGGGCTCCTAGGACTGAACTGAACACCTGGCCAGCACCTGGGGGAGTGAGCCGACTCCGGGCAGAGGATTCTTTGCCAGAGGCGGGGGGGACAGGGACGTCCCTGGACAGAATGGAGAACATCTAGGGGGAGGGGACAGAGCTTAAAGCGACCAGATAACTAAATCACACAGAAGGGTCTTACCTGGTCAGTACAGATGACGTGCTAAAGACTGAGGGAAAGGATGAACTCAGTCCTCTGTTCTCGAGGCTC